TGCCTCCCGCCATGATTCTGAGAACTTCCAGCCATGTGGAACTGTAAGTTCAATTAAACCCCTTTTTCTTCCCAGTCTCCGATATGTCTATCAACAGTGTGAAAACAGACTAATACATTGATTATTATTTTTTTTAAATATGAAGATGAGGTCTCACTATGCTGCCCAGGCTGGTCTCAAACTCCTGACCAAATGATCCTCCTCCCTGGGCCTCCCAAAGTGCTGGGATTATAGGCATGAACTACTGTGGCTAGCCCAGTTTAATGCCTCTACAGCTACAAGTGGCCTCTCTACTTCAATATTGTGAAACACCAGGGACATTTCGACACTTATCCCCAAGACTATGATTCTGAAATTTTGTTCCTTCGGTAACTATGGAACCTCCTCCTTTTTATTCAGAGCACATAAAAATTTTTCAGTTTTATTAGGTTCTGGAATTCCTGGGTTCTTCTCCCTACATCCTATTCTGTGTCTGCTTAAATTTCTATCCATTTTGGGGGTGTCTGCTAAGCTACTTGGGAGGAAGAGAAAGGAAGCTTCTGCAGGTTCTGCCCAGCGGTAGTGGGCAGAGTGCAGCTGCGCAGGCCCCCTCGAACCTCAGAGGCTGGGAGAGAAATGCTGGTGCCCTGAGAGAGGCTTTTTCTCAGGAACAGCATGAAACAACACCCTTGTCTAGCTCCAGGGATTAATTAGCACTGCTTTGAAATAAATTCTTTACAAGAATCTTACTTCCCTGCAACAGAAAGCTATTTTTGAATTTGGACCAATTTACTATTATTAAATGAGACTAAGGATAGTCTTCTCCCATAGTCCTCTTATTCTGAATATAGCTAATGACTTCAAAGCCATGTATCAATACCATCCTTACTTTCATAGTGGTCAGGCCTTGCTTCTAGGTCCTGGGTGAAGAAAGGAGTGCTATGGTTTGAATATGTGTCCCCTCCAAATCTTGTGTTGAAATTTGATCTCCAGTGTTGGAGATGTGGTCTAGTGGGAGGTGTTTGGCTCAGGGGGCGGATCCGTCATGATCAGCTTGGTGCCATTCACTTGGTAGTGAGTGAGCTCTCTGCTGTTCTTTCGCTGGAGAGCCTGTTGTTAAAAAGAATCTGGCACTTCCCTTCCCCTTGCTTTCCTCTCTTGTCCTGTGATCTCTCACTCATTGGCTCCCCTTTATCTTCTGGTATGAGTGTAAGCAACCCGAAGCCCTTACCAGAAGCAGATGCTGGTGCTGTTTTAGCTTCCAGAATTATAAGCCAAGTAAGACAGGAGGCAACTATGGTCTTTGCTACAGACTAGGCCTAGAGTTAAGTATTTGTGGTGCTGATGGGGAAAGTTGAAACCATTACACAGTTTAATCTGCCTCAGGTTCAAGGATATTTGGGGCAGCTCTGTTGGCACTCCCTAGATAGAAGGCCAGGAGAGGAAGGAGAATTGTTTCAAGAGCTCATAGGAGACTCTGTGGATCCCCGACTCAATAGTTAGATGGCAGCTGGAAGAGAGAAGAAATAACCTATGGACTATGGGTGTACCCACAGTCCACCAAGAAGGGATTCCCAGCTCTTGCACTCCATCTTCGGATCTTCTAACTCTCCCTCATGAGTGCTCAGAAACTCCCTAGTGAGCCTCCCTGTCATCATGCTCCAGCAAAGTGGTATCACAGAACATTTGTCTCTGGCTTCTTGTACTTCATTAAATTTACAAAATCTGATAAAATTTATACTGCTTATCAAAGAGAATAAATGTTGTCTTCCAACAGGCACAAAGGCCAAATCAGGGTGGGAAATTAAAACGCATGTCAAAATTACGTCTTTACATAATCATTTTTAAATTGTCAAGAATCTACACCTATTCCTAAAATCTCTTCTATTGATAATTATTAGTAGCCATAAATAACCTAAATAAATAGCCAATCTTTTTGCTAAAGGTGCAAAATTTGTTTCTTTTTGAGTTTGTAAAATGAATGATTAAGGGACATTGGAAGCCCCTTTCCTTTGTAGAAGGTATTCCCTAAATTACAGAAGTGCAGTAACTAAAGATAGCATGGCCCATTCAGGTTTTCAGGAAGGATTAAAGAAATAAAAGTAAAACCTCAACATCATTTTGGCTACATGTTTGTTTATATTTAAGATTATTTAGGATAAATTCTTACATGCAAATTTGTATACAAGTAGATTTAAAAAACTGATAGATATTGCCAGATTGCTCTTATGAAAGGTAGAAACGATTTATACAAGAAAATTCTATTTACCTTAACACTGGATTTTATTATCAAACAATTATTTAAAGCCAGTGGAATTTATATTTGGAACTTTGAATTCCAAGAGTTCTGTTGAACTCTTGTAGAAATGCAAAACAACAACTTTAACATTAGCTAGAGCAAAGTTTTAATATTATGCATCAATCACAGTACAGTTCTGTGTACTCAAGTTCAATTTATTTTAACACAAATTATTGAGCCTCTTCTACGTTCAAGGGACTACACTACGGCTGGAGGCAAAAAGGTGGACAGAATGTGGTCCCCTACTCTGAAGCAGTTCCTAATAGTGTGGAGGACACCAGCATGTAAATCAATCATGACAAAAGGGCTGAAGAATGATAAAAATACCAATAATAATCATCATTATAAAGTGAGAAGTAAATTCTATAGTCCAAATAGTATGTCTAAACACGCAGAAATGTGAAACACCCATGGAGAATTAAATAGTAACACATGTTCTATGTATTTATGCAAAAAAGTGAATGGTGCAAATACAGGTAGTGCGATTTTTTTCAACTGCCTCAAGAATATGAAACCCAATTGTTATAAAGACGTCAGGAACTCTATCTTAAATCGCTATCTAAAGCCCCTGCCTCATTTTCCTGGCTGCAATCTCAAGTAGATATCAAGTTAAAGAAACCACTTGGCACAGAGAAGAAATGTCACAGAAAAATCTCTAAATGCTATTGATTTTTAAAGAATGGCATAAATACCCTCTGTAGCATTCATCCCCAGAATGGAAGTGAATGAAGGATTACTCAAGAGTACATGCAGAATGTCATCATTCTGCAGCAAATGAAGGATTACTCAAGAGTACATGCAGAATGTCATCATTCTGCAGCAATGTACAACATTCAATGATAAGCATGAGACAGTAAACTTTAGCCAAAAGGGGACTCTGTTCACCACTGGGTTCCTATGGCTTTGCATTCAGTAAGTGTTGATCGAATGAGTAAGAATGTTGTGATACTAGTAATGTGCTGCAAATTTTCACTTAGATTCAATTTTGATATGCATACAAAATCTTTTAAAGGCCAAACTTCTAGACATCTTTGAAAGTTTGAAGCAAAACTCTTCTTCAGAACATAGGCTCAAAAGGTACCGAAGGAGCAAGGTGAACTGCAAGCTTCTAGAGACAGAGCATGCTTGACACATAGATTGACTGAAGAGAAGCAAAATAGTTGAATTGCTCGTGGTAGTGGATCCCTGTCCAGATCTTCCTTCAGGACTGACGCACTCATTCCTTAACACCTGGGAAATTGGTGATTGACAGCACTGACCTGAATGACTGTCTGGGAATTACCCTCAAGGAAGAGAGCTACTTGGCCAAAAGTAGCTCACCCTCCTTTCCCTAGAGCAGCCCTCATCTATGAATCGTTGATAGGGCCTGGAACAAGGTATGTGTAATGAAGTCCCATGCTCCTTGCCTCAAGGTGGGACAACTCGGAATACTTATTCCAGCTCAAGGACTTTCATGGGACTGTCTGAGGTCTGCCTGCATCGCAATTGCATTCTTCCACTGGCATAATCCTTCTTCCTTTACTTCCTCACAGATGTGGGTCCCGTGAGCACTCCCCAATAAACTTCATGCATGCAGTTCTCTGTCCCAGAGTTGGTTTGCTGGGGAGCCTGACCAGCGATGTTCTATGTCACTTATTATTTCTAAATAAAGAAGAGGAATCTCTTCTAAAGGCTAAATCATCCCCCGGAGAACTGGGTTTTGGCCTTGGTTCAAGCTCAGTGCTAGGCATCCATGTATTCCAAAAAATGTAAAGTGGTAATCAGACAATCAGAGAGAGTTTCTTAGAATGTCATCTTTTGAATCTCTGATTTTCTACCATTTAGCTACTTACTATTATGTTAGAATATTACAAAATATTTTGAGTTTAATTTTAAGTATAGTTAATATTTATTTAGCACTTATTTGTTTACTATTTCTGTTGTAAAATGAAACACAGTTTCAGAAAAATCACACAGAACTCTGTAGATTAATGAGCGATGCATTTGTTGAAATAATTACTCATGTTTAGAAATAGAACTTTTCTAGCTACCCAACGAGCCCCGTTCCAGTTTCAACACTTCTCTCTTCCTTCAAAGTAACCACTATCCTGATTCTATAATAAGCATTTTTTTGGCAGTTCTTTATAGTTTCATCAAAATTGTGTATCCCTAGACACTATAATTTTGTCTTGCCTATTTTTCAAATTTTAAGTCTTCTAAATCTTTTTAAATCCGCAGGTCCTCCCTCTGTCCCTTTCTTTTCTTCACAAATTATTTATTGAAGAACCTGAGGGATTTGATCTGCAGAATTTCTTACAGTTTGTATTTTTCCCTTTAACACTTTCTTCTGTCCTCTGTATTTCTACAAATTGGCAGCTGGGTCCAGAGTAGTGTTGATCCCTTCTGAAAGATGAAATTTCAATCCCAATTCAATCCATTCAAATAGCTTCGCTGAAGCTCAAATTGTCCTGCATTTGGCTAGTGGGAACCTCCTTGGGTCGGCTTTCGAGTTCTTTTATTTATTTATGTATTTATTTATGTATTTATTTATTTATTTTTGAGATGGAGTCTTGCTCTGACGCCCAGGTTGGGGTGCAGTGGTGCAATCTGAGCTCACTGCAACCTCCACCTCCTGAGTTTAAGCGATTCTCCTGCCTCAGCCTCCTGAGAAGCTGGGATTACAGGTGCATACCACCATGGCTGGCTAATTTTTCTTTTTTTAGTAGAGATGGAATTTCACCATGTTGGCCAGGCTGGTCTTGAACTCCTGACCTCAAGTGATCCACACCCTTTAGCCTCCCAAAGTGTTGGGATTACAGGCGTGAGCCACTGTACCAGCCATTGAGTTCTTTTAACATTACTCTGATAATTTTTTTCGTTATTTGCCATGACAGGGTTTTCCAGGTGCATCTCGTACATTTCTTACCCTAGACATGGAAATAGCCACTTCTTCAAGAAGACTTGGGTGTTGTTTTGAGGGGGAATGATATTTTTAAGGTCACAACCTGTTTGTTAGAGATGGTGATTGTTTCTGAGCATCTTCAGTGGACAAAGTTATTTCATGAGTTCATACTGATAGTTCTAACTTAAATTCTGGAACACAAGTTTTGTTGTATTTTTTTACTTAACCCCTGTATTACACCTGTATTTCCTTTCTTGCATCCCAAAATCTTAGTTCCCAAGGACAAAGGAGATCATAGAATCAGAACAGTGCATAATTAATCATTTACTCAATTCTAATATTACACACCCAAACAATATTAGTAGACCACTGGCAATATAGTTACTGAAAATAACTAAATTGTTTTTGCAAATACTTTCTTCATTCTCCCCATTAAGAGTTTTGGCTGTGCTACATCTATATTATCTAAACATGTAGCCTTAAAACTATACTTTCCCCTTTTATGAATGCTTATTTGATCTTAGTTGTATAGTAACTGTATGTTTTACGTATCGTATTTAGTCCTACTCATCAGTCCTTATACATATGTCTCTCTAGTGATTTCGATGATCTGAAGCTCATTTCTAGTATATTCCTCAGTTAGGGCTCATGGGAATAATATTCCTTGAGTTCCTGCATATTGATGACAGTCTGTTTATGTTTTTTCTACCTGAAAGTCACTTTTACTGGGAAAAACGTCCTTTAAAGATATTTTCTTTAGACATTTCTTTTCTTGAGTATATTAATTAGGCTACTCTATTTTCTTGTGTCATAACATATTGCTATTGTAACGTCTGATGGTAACCTAATTTTTTCTTTATAAGCCACTTGCCTTTTTTTCTTGAATCCTCAATAAACTTTTTTTTTCTTTAAAATCCAATTATTTTTATTAGAATACACCTTGTTGTTGGTGATTTTGAGATTATATTCTTAGATGTGTGGTGTGCTCTTGTACTGTGTACTTTCAATTATCTTTTTTAATTTCAGGAAAGTATTTTTGATTCATTGTTTTTACTACTATTTCTTATCCTTATTCTGATTTTCTTCCTCAGGGATTCCTATATTATATAATTTAAATCTTCTTTTCCTATCTTCTCTTTGTCGATTTCTCTTTAATCCATTTTAGCTCTTTATTTCTTTTTGATTTTTAATTTTTTTTTCCTTTTCACCAAATATTCTCTTCAGGCATATTTAGTGCTTATTTGCTTTTGTGTTCCTTCTAGTTTAGTCTTCACTTCTGAAACGACTTTTTCATTTATTTATAATTCTTTCCTATCTTCTGTCACCTGATTTCTGAGTTTTTCTAATTCTGATTTATGCTGTTCTTTTACATCTTGTATCATATTCTTAATGTCTTTTAGCTCATTTTGAAATAGGTTACAGTTTTGATCTGTCCCTGTCTTTCTGATATGCTTTTATTATCTATAGTGATGTTATTCTGCTCCTTATTCTCTTTTATCTTATAATAAATTTGCATGGGACTTGACTTCAATACTTTTCTGCTGCTCATTTTTATGTGAGATCAGTTTTCTTAAATTTTAGAGGCCTGGCTCAGGTGGCTTTTGTAACTTTGGAGAGTTCCCTCTTCTGCCGTTTTCCAAGACTTCCTGGTTCTGTTTTCCTCCTCCACTACAATCTGGATCATTTCTTTCCTTTGTCCCTATTGGGCCTGATTTGCTCAGATTTAATTCCATTCCAGCAGTTTCACCTCAGTGCAAGAGCCTTTCCTGGAAAAGAGCTCCATCCTGGAAGAAGGGTCATAAGTGTTAGATTCCTAAGGTTCCTCCAGTTCCTACCACAGGCCCCCTTGTACTGCCCATTGTTGGACTGGAAACCTCCCAGTTTCAGTGGCTGTTTTTAAATGGGCACACAGTGCTTTGTCTTTGATTCTCTCTGCTTTCTGCGGCACAGACACTGATACCACTCTGGTCTTGCAGCTGTTGGTGGTTTGTCCTCACTGGCTGATATTTAAGATTTGTAAAGAAATGTAATCATCTAATTTCATTGCAAATGTTAGCCATGGATTTTTGTTTTGGTATCTGATTACTTTGTCTGTTTTAATGCAGAAATTCAGAGAGATAAAATATGTATGTTTATCACATCCACTGCCACCGTCTTCTTCTGAACACTAAGTATTTGCCAAGCACTCTCTTACATATTGTCTCATTCAATTTTTACAACATCCGGGTGGAGTAGGAATAATTATCATTCTTATTTCATATAGAGGGAAACTCAGGCTTAGGAGGTCAAATAGCTTTTGAAGTGGTAGAGCGGGGATTTGAACCAATGTCTGGGTGATTACTAAGTCTGCTAATCTTTATGTCAAAAATATTTTAAAATCAGTTCTTTAAAATTTAAAATATAGATTCCCATAGAATGTTTTCTAACCAAAATATTATAATTTATGGTTAATAAAATATTAGAAAATATTAGTTTTTGAGCAGAAGAATTTGGATGATTTTTTTCTTTTGTGGACATCCTCAAATTTCTCTAATGAGTCTACATTAAGTAAAAATGAAACATCCAATACATCTTATTTTAAAAATTAAAACAAGCGTGGCTGCATAGTTCTTTCGTGAGTCTTCAAAAGTTTATTTAATTCGTGATGTACCTGGAATATAGTATGTATGTGTGTGTGGATACTTATGCATACACATACATTTGATTAAAGCGGCAAATCATGCGTCTGCAAAAGTAATAGTAATAGCATAATTGTTAAGATGCTTAATGGTTAAGGATGTCAGATTTACGTTTAGACAGACTTGAGTTTGAACACTGGGTCTTTGTCTTATCTGGTTACCTTGGATGACTTATTCAGCTCATTCAAGCTTCAGTAAAGTGGAATAACTTCAAAGGATTGTCCTGGTCATAAAACGACGTAATACATGTGATGCAAAGTACTTAAGGCGGTACTAAGCAATAATAAGCAGTCACCAAATATGAATAGTTGTGAAACACAACAATAACAAAAAATCAGGCATAGTAAAAATAAAAGGAGGATTGTAGCTATTCTGAAAAAAATTCTGTGTAATGTCAAGCCTGCAGAAATAGATGGCTTTTTTGTTTGTTTGCTTTGCAGAGGGGAGGGGATTTTTTTTTTAAACCAATTTATCAGAGATCAATGAGTGCCTTAAAAATATTTTCACAGCTGGAAGAAATGAGAGTTAAAGTAAGTAATCTTAGAATAGGTGGTCCAGTGTGGAACTGACAGCTTACACATCACATAAAAGGCATGTATAGGTCAGATACCTGTTGCAACTTGGAAATTGACTTCCTGTAGTGTTCTGGGGACAGATTGGAAATTGCCCTGCTGAGCCAGTATATACTTGACAGAAAACTTAGGTCTCCCAAGGAACTGATTTGGAAGGCCATTTGTAACCCTGATAACTGTAAACAAATTGTACTGAAGTGGTAACTTCAAATGTGTGTTGGTGCAAACTCTTAGGCTATTCAACTGCAATGAGTTTAATTGGTTATAAGAGTGTTGTTCTCCTTGGACAGCGTAATACCCACCTCTCCTTCCCCACTGAATTTGCTATTTTGTGATGGCTGCTGTTGAGATAATAGAAGCATTTCATTTTATTGAGCGCAAATACACGATTAAAATGTATAAACAAGATTTCTCCCTTTCAAATTTTGGGCTGTAACATCATTTGTTCAGTGATAAGCTGCCTGTTAGCATCATCCATAAGAGATATGGAGGCCATTTTCCGTAGCCACAATGTGGGGAAGATAGAGAAGGTTAGGAATGGTGCATTTATTGTAAGAGGAATTCCCCAGTGCTGCAGGCAGTGTGGCCAGTTGAGACACATTTCTGGTAGTTAGTGATTGGATTTGTTCACCTGCCTTCCTGGGCCTGGCTCCCCACTGGGGAAGTCCGGTAAGGCTGACAGATAATAAGCTTCGGTGACAACAACTGTACCACTGACTCCAGTACACCTATGATGGGAAATCCTAAGGTGAAAAGAATCTGTGAGCTAACATGGTGGCTAGAAAACCTCCTGCTACAAATGTGAGTTGTGGTTGTCACTACACAGATGATTTTCAGCTGCAAGAATCTAGAATGGATTCTCCTGAGGTTTCCAGTTTCTGTAGAAGGTAGATTTTTTTTTTCTCCTGAACAACTAGATGTGTTTATTTTCTGATAAGTATTTTGTGACTCTTGAAACTAATAATGATTATCTCTTTGATTTGATCACTAGGGAGTCCCATGTGTGTCTCATCTCAACAAATATTATAATATCCCTAAAGACAGGAGCTTTTATGTAGTTATTTATCTGGAGAACAGAGGTGCATCTCTCTCTATTAGTCTCTTCATTTTCCCTTCACTGTGATTTCCTCATCCATCATTTATTCCCCAGTATATATACTTTCTTGTGAGGCATTTCAGTCTTTTAAAATCAAGTTATATTAGTTCTACACCTAATAGTTTCCACGTCAGGCTAAGAAGAAGTACAGAGGGAGCCTAACTTTACCTTTCATTGTTTTGGTCAGTAATTAATTACATCTTCACTTAGTAGAGAGGATGAAGCTGCTAGGAGTGTATATGGTCTGTTCCATTTATTGCCTTTTGAGAAAAACTTTCTTGGCCACTTAGTTGTTATAATCAGTAATTACATCTTTATTAAATAATTTGTAAGATCCTATTCCTGAGTTCTGTGTGCTCATGTAAAACAGGTTTTTAAAATGCTGTCTTGATCTGGTTTGGAGTCACTGACTAGAGGCTGGTCCTTCTTGAGCATCCCATTAACTATGCACCCCAAGCACCTGCTTGATTGGGTTCTCACACTCTGGGCCACTATAGCTGCTCTAATTGTCCCAGAGTCAGGATATTAGGAAACCAGAGCTCACCCCTATTTCGCAGCCTGCTGAATTTATTCAAAGTAGCCAATCCTTAACCTGCTTGCCGGCCTCATCCTTTCCTTCCCACACAAACCACAGTGAAGGTGTTTCCCTGAATTCTCCTTCCTCTGACTCACCCCAGTGCTTCTCCAGCTCGGTTGTCTTAGTCCATTTAGGCTGTTGTAACAAAATGCCTGGGACTGGGTAATTTACAAAGAACAGAAATGTATCTCTGGAAGTTCTGGAGGCTGGGAAGTCTAGGATCAAGGCACTGTCTGGGGAGGGCTGGCTCTTTCCATTTCCAAGATGGCGACTTGTTGCTGCGCGCTCACATGGTGGAATGAGGAAAGCGGAAGGGCACAAGGGGCTTAAGTTGCATCCCTTTAGCCTTTTTGCAAGGCACTTATCCATTTATGAAGGCAGAATCCTCATGACTTAATCACTTCCCAAGAGGCCCCACCTCTTAATACTACCACAATAGGGAATGAGTTTCAGCATGAATTTTGTAAGGGACATGCTAAAATCATAGCAAGTGGCTGTGTTCTCCCCAGGGAATGGTGCAGATAACAAAACTGTAAAACTCTTTCTGGTTTCTTTCTCTTGAGCTGCACCTTGACCTCACCATACCTCACCCAAGGTAATATGGTTAAAATAATGAGTCAGCTTTTCAAAGTCCACTTTTAAAAGATTTTCTATTTATGTTTTTGGGCTTTTTGTTTGATTTTCTGAGACTCATGTTGGTATTTTCGATTTCTGTTATTTTCAAAGAATTTAAGAGATTAAAAATACAATGTAATCTGTACAAAGTAAAAAATTGTAATATAAATTTATCAAAAATGTAAATTAAAATGTAAAAACTTTAAAGATTTTTTAATCTATGCTTGTAACAACATATTTTCTCCCAAAAGAGTCAAAAGAATCTATTACAATTAAAAGGTAAAATACAAACTATAGTAAATGAATATAACATGTTAAATGTTATAGAATTCACATTTATATAACTGACATTTTGAAGTTAATTAAAAAATATTGAATTAAATTTTATGAAATATTTTTATAAAGAGAACTATTCAAAATTCTAAAGTTCAATATGCATCAGTTTGCCAGTGTAAAGAAATGATAACATGTTTCATGTATGTTGTCTAGCCTAGCAGTTTTGAACCAGTGAGGCAGTGGCAACTTTGCCCTTTAGGAGAGAATTGGCAAGAGATATTACCTAGAGATATTTTTTGGTTGTCACAGGCATTGGGAAAAGAATGGCGAGTGGGGAGGCGTTATTGGACAGAAGCCGGAGATATTGGTAAATATCTTACAAAGCACAGAATAGCTCCCACAACACATAAAATAGATAACTTACAAATGTAAATAGGTTAGAGGTTGAGGAACACACACACACAAAGGGAAGAGTAATATGAATAGTACAAGATTCTAAGATGCTCATCAGCCACCACGTGTGATGGTTTCTTATATTGTACTAATTTGTGAGTAGTTCTGAAACCATGGGACACAAAGAAAATCAAGAAAAACATTTAGCATTCCTGGGAAACAATACTTCATTATGCAATAATCTATTGTGTTCATGCTACCTCAGAGGAAAGATCTGACAAGTTAATTAATTTGTCTTGTCTCATAAGTGCCTCTGCCACTGAAATCTTCCTCATGCTCCAAAGCAGGGCTCATTCATTAGGAGTGCCACAACCCACAAACTTTTACAGCAATTAAATGAAGTTATGCTTTTTGTGGGAGATATGGGGCAAGAGATGAAGAGCATTTCTTGGAATAGAAGTGTTATGCCAATACTAGATCCTGAGGGACAGAGGCACAAATGCAGTCTTCAATGACTCTCTGTGTGTGTGTGCATGTGCACATGTGCTATGCGGACCCCCTAAAGCACCAGCCCAGCATAAAGGCCTCTTGTGCTCAGATCTAAAGACAGTTCTGTCATAAATATTTTTATAATGTGTGAAATTTGAGACCTTGGATTTTCAACTTGAAACCAGAAGGTGTTTAGCTGAGAATCAAGTCAGGAAATCAATGGACCCTACTGTAATACTAGATTTCACTTTACAGTTATTCCTGAATACTGTAATAAAGGACAAGTGTTTCTGTAAGTCTGAAAGACTCTTGATGAAAGGGCAGTGGGTGCATAGACCAGTCCCAGGTAGTTGTTTGTGCCTAGAGCAAGATTAGAGGTGAAAGGGGGGATGTGGGTGAGGCCTGGGGGCACAGTGGCCCTTGATCCTAAAGCTGCCTTTGCCTGATTCTACCCAGGGGATTGTAAGGGAAAGAAAACTTCAGTTGAAACACTTTCACTATGCTGGATCTTATTTCCCTCCCCCACTCCAATTTCCCTGGTTCATTTTCTCTTAATTGGTCCTGATTGGAAGTCATCATAAATCAGAATAATTTCTCTTTCATGCTCTTCAAATTTTAACTTACGAAAAAAAGTCTTCAGCTGGAAATGTCCATAAAAAATGAATGTCAGTGGTTTCATCTCTAACAGGGAGAAAATGAAACTCAGACATTTTGGAGTCACAGTCAAACTACCTCAGTATGATTGTGAATTGATTTATACAGGGCCTTAAGAAACTTCATGTCCTTTTTGGAATGTACTAAGCAGGAATCACTCTTTCACAAATCCAGAAATTATAACCACCCGTGAAGTTAAATGCTGTATCTGTCTTAGCCTAGGTCTGTACTAGGCTGATAATTTACTTCAAGACTCAAAAAGGCAATTTGACTCTGCTATCTAGTTCTCAAAATGACTTATTCAACACTGAGTATTTAGATAAAGACTGAAGATTTCCTTCTTTCCTCCCTCCCTTTCTGCTTCCCTTCCTCTTTTCCTTTCTTTCTCCCTTCCTTCCTCCTTTTTTCCCTTCCTTCCTTCCCTTTCTTTCCTCTCCCTTCTCTCCTTCTTTCTTTCCATTTTTTAGCCCACATGCTGTGGGTGACATTCTGGTGACAGCCTGCTATCATCAGCAGGAACAGTGTGGGAAATATCAATTTATATATGGACAGAGGTTATACATGTTCCCTTAGCTCCAAGGTTGCAAATGGGAACAATCTGCTTTCTAGTGATTTCCAGTCACTATTTGCATAATTTAAAATCTAACATATTAAAGACATTTATGCATCAGTATTTATGAGTTGGCTAGATATCAACTACCAAATCTATAATGTAGAGATTGAGAAGGGGTAGGGTATGTGTAAGTTACTTCATTTTGAAAAAGCCACGGAATTTATCTCTTTCATTAACTTCCTCAACTCGTAGGCTCTGGGCATGAGACTCAGAGAAAGACACTTTAGTGAAACAAGTCCAGGAACCCAACTCAAATTATAGGGTAGTCTATTTTTTGGAGCAATTTTTTAATTTTAAAAACTCACACTGTTGGTGCTGTATAGCTCAGCCAGGAAACCTCAGATGTTAAGGGAGTAGAACATTTATCTTGAAATTATGTCTCACTCCCTTAGAGTTTGGTGGAGACACTTCCTGATAGAGCTCTCAGTGCACCATCATCTCACTAAGGCCAATAGGAAGGCTGCCTTACGTAGTTTTTCACTTAGTGGCTGTATGACCTTGAACAAGTCCTGAGCATCACTTTATTAATTAAACAGAGACAACAACTGCTTTTCTTACTTTGCAGAGTTGGGAAACCTAAAATTGGTAAATACCAGCTATAGTCCAGATGAAATACCCACAGCTTTATACATGTCAGGCAGCAGCATGACAACAAACATCAGTGGTCGTGGAGAACAATGAGGAGAGGATGGTTGTCTTTTTCTGGAGAGCAAAGTGTTCAAGACAGACTCCTAAGGATTAGTCAGGTGGAGCAGGGAAGGGACACTGTAAGAGGAAGCCTAAAAAGGTGAAATAAAATTTCTTGCACTTCAAATGTTGCTGAGGCTTCGTCTAGCATTTAATCATTCTCTCACTTGGCAAGGCTAGTTAAACTTCGTTTACTGAAGGAAAAACAGATTTTAGACTGTTGAGATTTGGGGAGTGGCACCTACATGAGATGCAGAAATATTTTCTCTTACAGGATGAATAAAAGGCTTCTCGGCCAGAAAACCAGGTCTTTCCCTTTAGTCTTCCAATACCTCTCAAAAAAAGAGTTTGAAGACTTCTAAGCATTCATGTCTTTTTTTCTTTTTTTTTTTTTTTGAGATGGAGTTTCGCTCTTGTTACCCAGGCTGGAGTGCAATGGTGCGATCTCGGCTCACCGCAACCTCCACCTCCTGGGTTCAAGCAATTCTCCTGCCTCAGCCTCCTGAGTAGCTGGGACTACAGGCACGCGCCATCATGCCCAGCTAATTTTTGTATTTTTAGTAGAGAGGGGGTTTCACCTTGTTGACCAGGATGGTCTCGATCTCTTGACCTCGTGATCCACCCTCCTCGGCCTCCCAAAGTGCTGGGATTATAGGCGTGAGCCACCAAGCCCGGCCAGCATTCATATCTTAAGTAGGATTTCCCATTATACTTATTGAGCTAAAGTAACTGTGCTCACAGGATACTTTTCTGCCTATTTTCTATGCCTTTTGGTCATGTAAGTGAGGTGGTTGTAGAGACAGATGGACAGAGAAGGAAAGGGAGGGGGCAGAGATAGAAGGGGAAAAGAGTGAAAAGGCAGGAGCATCTGCTGTGTATCAAACACTGCATCAGGCATTTTACATTTTAGGAAGTTAAATCATACAGTGTGACACAGTCTTTGCCTATTCCAATGATTACTGGACATTTGAGATTAATTGATTGTTTTCAGGTTAAGTGACAATAACTAAATAATGACTTTCTATCTCTTTGAGCCAGGTGGCACCTTTGAATGGGACAAAAGAATTCCTCCTTGCCTTGCTAAATAGACAAGCTATATTCCTGTACTCTTATGCCAGAGCTTCATACTCTACAGGTTACCCAGCAGTCAAGTATTCTAGGCTCTGACAGAATGCTAAAGTCCTGATGAAGCTACTCACCAGCTTTTGAGAGCTTTTCTGTGTCTCCTGAGGAGCATTACGTTTACTGATAAGACATAGATGAATGAATAAAGCCTAGAGATCAATTAACAGGCTAGTGCACCTTATCTAATCAGACTGTGACATTCACACCAAAGCTTTCCTTGAGTGCCTACCTAGAAGGTGTTTCATAGAGAACACAGTTGCTTAAAATGGGCACCTGCTTTTTAAGGTAAACACACTGGGTTTCCAGATCTGGATTTTTGCTGGGTCCATACAATATTTGCCTTTTTTTTTTTTTTTTTTTTTTATGAGAGTCCTATCTTTGGGCTAAAGGGATTAGGAGCCTTCAGTGTAATCTTACTTTTTTCACATTTTAGATAGGCTTTCACTTGATTTTATTGGCCTGATGGAATTCATAGACTAAGGAGAAAAATGAAAGAGAACAAGAGGGCTCAAGCTGAATTTGACAGTCCACAGGATTTTTTTTCCATAAGCATGGCGGAGTGCTTTTGCAGGGTGATTTCCATTGTCTGTTATTCATAAGACCAACTCTCTGGGTAGAAAGTCCTAAGTCTCTTCTTCTTGTATGAGGGTGAAGTGCGTCTGTCAAAGCAATAGAATTCTGGGGCAGTGGTTATTCTGACTTCCCATCTCTCCTTTAATTTAAAGGACTCCCATGACCCTACCATTAACTAAGTTAAAAAAATATAAGAGATGTAACAGGTTGGCAGAGGGACATGAAAAATGAATTTTATTTGGAAATATTGAAATGGAAACTTCATGTAGAGATAACTAATAGATGGGTTGAGAAATAGTCCTGAAACTCAGAAAAGAGATAAGGGCTGAACATGGCTCATTCAGGCCTAGTTAGTAGTTGACATTTAAGTGAGATTTCCTAGGGACAATGGTGCATAGGGTGAGTGTGGAGGGAACATCAAGGTCTTGTGGCCCTGAAGGCAGAAGAAAATCAGTACATAAAAATTACCACCAGGACACATGATACCCAACTAAAATTGAAATAAAAACTATCTATTGGTTTAAACCATGATGATAAAATTTTAGCCATCTTCATAAATTATACTTTGAGATAGATGGTGGTGGTTGGTGGTAAAACAGAATATCTTTCAGAGTGTAAGATTTCATAGAGGTTTGCATGTCGGGGGATCTGGGGACCAGAGCATGAGATAATGAGAGAAGTAGAGATAAGTATGTTTAAAGGGAGGGGAAAATATATGTGTGGGTATGCATATGAGTGTGTGGAGGCAAAACTGAGCTGTGGAATATTCAGTGAGTATCCCTTTGCATTTAGCAGCCATTTATAAAAATACTATTATGTATAGAAATGTACTCCAGAAGTAACTGATGGATATACATGAGCCTTTGACCATGTGCATCATCCACCTAGTAAACATACTACTATTAAGTTTAAAATGTTAACTCTAACATTCTTGTCTGTCAACAAGGTGCACTTATAATTTCAAAAATTCAGAATAAGAGGGTGCTTATCCTTCTTTGGGTCAATTTATTTTAAAACTTGTTCATCAAACATTTATGGACTTAGTTTCTTGCCACATATTTACTGAAACGTGTACAGGGTCAGGGAAAGTTACTTCCTCCTCTTGCTGGGCAATAGGGTCACAGAGCAAAGCAGTGCCTGGACATGGAGTTGAGAAGTGCAGTGCTGCCTTTGTAGGTTCGGCATGTCTCTCATTAGGTAGATCTCCTCAGAAAGGCCAGCTCTAGGGGCAAAGGGCAGTGATATGGTTTGGCTATGTCCCTACCCAAATCTCATCTTGAATTGTAGCTCCCATAATTCCCATGTGTCATGGGAGGGACCTGGTGGGAGGTAATTGAACGGTGGTGATGGAACTTATCTTTCCCATGCTATTCTCATGATAGTGAATAAGTCTCCTGAGATCTGATGAGTTTATATATGGGAGTTCCCCTGCACATGCTCTCTTGCCTGCCACCATGTAAGATGTGACTTTGTTCCTTATTCACATTCTGCCATGACTGTGAGGCCTTCTACAGCCATGTGGAACTGTGAGTCAATTCAACCTCTTTCCTTTATAAAGTACCCAGTTTGTCTTGGGTATGTCTTTCTTAGCAGCATGAAAACTCATACAGGCACCTTGATCTTTAGCCCACTGTATGGTCTGAACAAAAGCAGCCGACACAAGCATTAGTCCCAGCATGTAAAAAATAACAGGTCTAAAACTTAATCCTTCATCTATCCTTTTCCCCAGCAACTTCTCCTCCTCCTGCATTTGATTCTCTTGTGACAGCAGCATCATCCCCTCAGTAAGTGGTTTCCTGTGTACTTTCTAAATTGTGACCCATGAATGGGTTATAAAATCAATATAGGGAGTCATGACCAGCATTTAAAAACAACAATGGAATAGAAAATACCAGAGTACACTATACATAGTAAGGCTAAATATATAAGGCCCTGCATGGTGCTGAGGTTTGGGCAGTGGGGAGGTTTTAGATGGGTTGGGCGTAGGAGGACCAAAATTTGATCCTTGATGTTGCCTCTCAAAGGCAACGTCTGTAAAATATCCATCACCTCATATTCTAGATTGAATTGTACCTTCCAAAAAGATACGTTAAAGTCTTAACCCCTGGTAACTGTGAATGTGACCTCATTTGGATATAGGGTATTTGCAGTTGTAGTCAAGTTAAGATAAAGTCATACTGGATTAGAAGGTGTCCTAAATCCAATGATTCATGTCCATATGAGAGAGAGATTTGAAGACAAAGAAGAAACAAGGAAAAAGTCCATGTGAAGATGGAGGAAGAGATTGGAGGCATTCATTTACAAGCCCAAGGATGCTGAGGTTTGCCAGCAGCTACTGGGAGCTAGAGAGAGGCTTGGAGCAGATTCTTCCCTACAGACTCCCAAGGGTGAACGGCCTGCCCATAGCTTGATTTTGGACTTCTGGCCTCCAGAACTATGAGAAAGTTTCTGTTGTTTTAAGCACCTCATTTGTGGTATTTTCTTATGGCATCCATAAGAAAGTAGTCTACCAATAATCCTCATGGCCCTTTCAGGCCTCTGCTGGTGCCATGCCTTGCTCAGCAGGGCATCTTTCTGGTTCCCTGTGGCTCCAGGTACATTCACTATACAGGGGCTCACTGTGTCTCTGCTCCTCTTGGTGTTTTACTTCAGTTTGGGGAAGTTATTTAAAAAATAATATTCTGCCATGTAGTTAGCACATTTTTCTATGGTCTGTGACTTACCTATTTCCTGAGGAGAGAGACTTTATCTTTTTAAGCTATCATCTCCAATGCACAACTCTCGTGTGTATTTAATGCATGAGTCTGGTTGACAATGTGTCTGAAGGGGGAGTCATGAACACAGGTTCTCAAATGTCCGTGTCAACACCCTGTGCAATACCAGCATTTCTGGCAACCCTCTTAAAGGAATTAAAACATAAAAAATTGTTTAAATAAACGCATTGGAAGAACTGAGAAGAGAAACGTTCATTGTTGTAACACTAATCATTTGTTGCCATTCATCAGTGTAAGTAGGACTGTTTACTGCCCTGGCCATGTTTTTAAAATTTATTTATGAGATAAATTTCTGACAGTTTTAAGGATCACATACCATGAGATCACAAACCTACTCAAACTACAGTCAGATGTGTAAAGAAAATTTAGTCTCTTGATTTTTCAATAGCAATCTGATCTTCTTCACAAGCCTCCCCCCATTAGATACTGGAAGAAAAAACACAGCTATATTCTAACCTTGTGTTTAAATAGTCTCTTTACATAAACTGGCCTCTGTTTAGAGGACTCAAATAAAATGCTTAACAGTTTCTTTTTTATGCCGATTGTATTAGCTTTCAGAAGGCTGTAGCAACATGTCCCAAAGTGGGTAGCTTCAAACAGACATGCATTGCCTCATGGTTCTGGAGGCTTGATGTCTAAAGTGAAGGTGTTGGCAGGGTCTTCTCCATCTGAAATTTGCAGTGAGTCCTTCCTTGCTTCTTCCTTGTGTCTTGTAGTTTGCTGGCAATCTTCGTTGGTCCTCAGCTTGCAGCTGCATAACTGTCATCTCTGCCTTTGTCATGACCTTGGCATTCTCTCAGTGTGTCTCTGTTATCAGGTGACCGCATGCTTTTAAGGACACTAGTCACATTAGATTAGAAGCCCACTGTACTCCAGTATGACCTCATCTCAACTAATCATGTTTGCAACAAACTTATTTCCAAATAACATCACATTCCAAGGTACTGGGGGCTAGGACTGCAACATTAAGTTTTTGCAGGGACACAATTCAAACCAGGACCTCCCGTTTTTTCTTTAAGATGGCATTGAAGTACATGAAGGAGAGTGATGACTTACCTGACCATGGGTCTCTGCTTTTTGCTGGTCTCTGCTGAGGGATGAGTGTTCCAAGTTGCTTTTAGGAGTGATAGCTGAAGTACAATTCATTCTATTCTTGTTCTAATAACGTCCACCGCTGAAATGTGATGCTGGCATACCTGTAATCCATTCTGTCTCTCTGCTTGGTCACTTCTCAACTGACTTGTTAGTTTTCCTTTCGAAGCATGTGGGAAATTTGCAGTCTGATTTCTCAATCCTGTCCCCACCATCAGAGACTGAGGGCTCTCAGGATAGTTGATTTATGGCTTTCCTTCTGCCTAAACATGACGAGCCATTAAGATTCCACTACCGGCCCAGTGCGGTGGCTCACTCCTGTAATCTCAGCACTTTGGGAGGCCGAGCCAGGCGGATCATGAGATCAGGAGTTCGAGACCAGCCTGACAAACATGGTGAAACCCTGTCTCTGCTAAAAATACAAAAATTAGCTGGGCAAGGTGGCGTATGCCTGTGATCCCAGATACTCAGGAGGCTGAGGCAGGAGGTGGA